CAAGACCAAATAAATGAAGATGAAATAGGCAACCTACCTGAAAAAGAGTTCAGAGCAATGATAGTTAAGATGATCCAAAATCTCAGAAACATAATGGAGAAAATACAAGAAACATTTAACAAGGATCTAGAAGAACTATAGAGCAAACAAACAGTGATGAACAATACAATAACTGAAATTAAAAATACTCTAGAAGGAATCAATAGCAGAATAACTGAGGCAGAAGAACGGATAAGTGAGCTGGAAGATAAAATGGTGGAAATAACAGCAGGGAGAAGAAAAAAGAATGAAAAGAACTGACAACAGTCTCAGAGACCTCTGGGACCATATTAAACACATCAACATTTGAATTAGAGGGGTCCCAGAAGAAGAAGAGAAAAATAAAGTGAGAAAATATTTGAATAGATTATAGTCAAAAACTTCCATAACACGGGAAAGGAAATAGTCAATCAAGTCCAGGAAGTGCAGAGAGTCCCATACAGGATGAACCCAAAGAGAAACACGCTGACACACATATTAATCAAACTATTAAAAATTAAATACAAAGAAAAAATATTGAAAGCAACATGGGAAAATCAACAAATAACATACAAAGGAATCCCCATAAGATTAACAGATGATCTTTCAGCAGAAACTCTGCAAGCCAGAAGGGAGTGGTAGGACATATTTAAAGTGATGAAAGAGAAAAACTGACAACCAAGATTAGTCTACCTGGCAAGGATCTCATTCAGATTTGACAGAGAAATCAAAAGCTTTACAGACAAGCAAAAGCTAAGGGAATTCAGCACCACCAAACCAGCTTTACAACAAAATGCTAAAGGAACTTCTCTAAGCAGAAACACTAGAGAAGAAAAAGACCCACAAAAACAAACCCAAATCAATTAAGAAAATGGTAATAGGAACATACATATTGATAATAACCTTGAATGTAAATGGATTAAATGCTCCAACCAAAAGACAGACTGGCTGAATGGATACAAAAACAAGACCCTTATATATGCTGTCTACAAGAAACCCACTTCAGATCTAGGGACACATATAGACTGAAAGTGAGGGGATGGAAAAATATATTGCATGCCAATGGAAATCAAAATGAAGCTGGAGTAGCAATACTTATATAAGATAAAATAGTTTTAAAATAAAGACTGTTACAAGAGATAAGGAAGGACACTACATCATGATCAAGGGATCAATCCAAGAAGAAAATGTAACAACTATAAATATTTATTCACCCAACATAGGAGTACCTCAATACATAAGGCAAATATTAACAGCCATAAAGGGAAATCAACAGTAACACAATAGTAGTGGGGGATTTTAACACCCCACTTACACCAATAGGCAGATCATCCAGAGAGAAAATAAATAAGGAAACACAAGTTTTAAAAGACACAATAGACCAAAGAGACCTAATTGATATTTTTAGGACATTCCACCTGAAAGTGGAAAAATACACTTTCTTCTGAGGTGCACATGGAATGATCTCCAGAATAGATCACTAATCAAGCCTTGGAAAATTTAAGAAAATTGAAATCGTATCAAGCATGTTTTCTGACCACAATGCTATGAGATTAGAAATCAATTACAGGAAAAAGAACAGTAAAACACAAATACATGGAGGCTAAACAGTGTGCTGCTAAATAACCAAGAGATCAATGAAGAAATCAAAGAAGAAATCAAAAAATACCTAGAAACAAATGACAACGAAAACACAATGATCCAAAACCTATGGGACACAGCTTAAGCAGTTGTAAGAGGGAAGTTCATAGCAATTCAAGCTCACCTCAAGAAACAAGAAAAATCTCAAATAAACAATCTAACCTTACACCTAAAGCAACTAGAAAAAGAACAAAGAAAACCCAAAATTAGCAGAAGGAAAGAAATCATAAGATCAGAGCAAAAATAAATGAAATAGAAACAAAGAAAACAATAGCAAAGATCAATAAAACTAAAAACTGGTTCTTTGAGAAGATAAACAAAACTGTTAAACCTTTAGCCAGACTTATCAAGAAAAAAAGGGAGAGGACTCAAATCAATAAAATTAGAAATGAAAAGAAGAGATTACAAGTGACACCGCAGAAATTCAAAAGATTATAATAGACTACTACAAGCAACTCTATGCCAATAAAATGGACAACCTGGAAGAAATGGACAAATTCCTGGAAAAGTACAACTTCCCAATATTGAACCAGGAAGAATTAGAAAACATAAACAGACCAAACACAGGTTATGAAATTGAAACTAATTAAAAATATTCCAACAAACAAAAGTCTAGGAACAGATGGCTTCACAGGCGAATTCTCTAAAACACTTAGAGAAGAGTTAACACCTATCCTTTTCAAACTCTTCCGAAAAATTGTGGAGGGAGGAACACTCCCAAATTATTCTATGAGGGCCGCCATCACCCTGATACCAAAACCAAACAAATATATCACAAAAAAAGAAAATTAGAGACCAATATCACATAGATGATATAGATGAACATAGATGCAAAAATCCTCAACAAAATATTAGCAAACAGAATCCAACAGCACATTAAAAGAATCATACACCATGATCAAGTGGGATTTATCCCAGGGATGTAAGGATTCTTCAATATACACAAAACAATCAATGTGATACACCATATTAACAAATTAAGGAATAAAAACCATATGATTATCTCAAATGCAGAAAAAGCTTTTGGCAGAATTCAACACCCATTTATGATAAAAACTCCAGAAAGTGGGCATAGAGAGAACCTACCTCAACATAATAAAGGCCATATATGACAAACCCACAGAAGACATCATTCTCAATGGTGAAAAACTGAAAGCATTTCCTCTAAGATCAGGAACAAGACAAGGAAGTCCACTCTTGCCACTATTATTCAACATAGTATTGGGAGTCCTAGCCACAGCAATCAGAGAAGAAAAAGAAATAAAAGGCATACAAATTGGAAAAGAAGTAAAACTGTGACTGTTTGCCGATGACATGATACTATACATAGAAAATTCTAAGGATGTCACTGGAAAACTACTAGAGCTAATCAATGAATTTGGTAAGGTTGCAGGATACAAAATTAATGCACAGAAATCTCTTGCACTCCTATACACTAACAACAAAAGATCAGAAAGAGAAATTGAGGAAACAATCCGATTTACCATCGCAGCAAAAAAAATAAAATACCTAGGAATAAACCTACCTCAGGAGGCAAAAGTCCTGTACTCAGAAAACTATAAAACACTGATGAAAGAAATCAAAGATAACATAAACAGATGGAGAGGTATACCATGCTCCTGGATTGGAAGAATCAATATTGTGAAAATGACTATACTACCCAAAGCAATCTACAGATTCAATGCAATCCTTATCAAATTACCAGTGGCATTTTTCACAGAACTAGAACAAAAAATTCCACAATTTTGTATGGAAACACAAAATACCCCAAATAGCCAAAGCAATCTTGAGAAAGAAAAACGGACCTAGAGGAATCAGGCTCCCTGACTTCAGACTATACTACAAAGCTACAGTAATCAAGATAGTATGGTACTGGCACCAAAACAGAAATATAGATCAATAGAACAGGATAGAAAGCCCAGAGATAGACCCATGCACATAGGGTCACCTTGTCTTTGATAAAGGAGACAAGAATATGCAATGGAGAAAACACAGCCTTTTCAATAAGGGGTGCTGGGAAAACTGGACAGCTACATGTAAAAGAATGAAATTAGAACACACCCTAACTCCAGATACAAAAATAAACTCAAAATGAATTAAAGACCTAAATGTAAGGCCAGACACTATAAAACGCTTAGAGGAAAACATAGGGAGAACACTCTATGACATAAATCACAGCAAGATCCTTTTTGACCCACCTCCTAGAATAAGGGAAATAAAAACAAAAATAAACAAATGGGACCTAATGAAACTTAAAAGCTTTTGCACAGCAAAGGAAACCGTAAACAAGATGAAAAGACAACCTCAGAATGGGAGAAAATATTTGCAAACGAAGCAACTGACAAAGGATTAATCTCCAAAATATACAATCAGCTCATGCAGCTCAATATCATAAAAACAAACAACCGAATCCAAAAATGGGCAGAAGGCCTAGATAGATATTTCTCCAAAGAAGACATACAGATAGCTAACAAATACATGAAAATATGCTCAACCTTACTAATCATTAGAGAAATGCAAATCAAAACCAAAATGAGGTATCACCTCACACTGGTCAGAATGGCCATCAGCAAAAAATCTATTAACAATAAATGCTGGAGAGGGTGTGGAGAAAAGGGAACCCTCTTGCACTGTTGGTGGGAATGTAAATTGATAGATCCACTATTGAGAACAGTATGGAGGTTCCTTAAAAAACTACAGATAGAACTACCATATGACCCAGCAATCCCACTACTGGGCATATACCCTAAGAAAACCGTAATTCAAAAAGAGTCGTGTGCCACAATGTTCACTGCAGCACTATTTACAATAGCCAGGACATGGAACCAACCTAAGTGTCCATTAACAGATGAATGGATAAAGAAGATGTGGCGCATATATATATATATTTGAATATTACTCAGCCATAACAAGGAACGAAATTGAGTTATTTGTGCTGAGGTGCATGGACCTAGAATCTGTCATACAGAGTGAAGTAAGTCAGAAAGAGAAAAACAAATACTGTATGCTAACGCATATATATGTGATTTTAAAAAGCGGTACAGATGAACCTAGGGGCAGGGCAGGAATAAAGATGCAGACTTAGAGAACGGACTTGAGGACACAGCAGGAAAGAGGAACCTGGGATGAAGTGAGAGAGTAGCATTGCCGTATATACACTACCAAATGTAAAATGGATGGCTAGTGGGAAGCTGCTGCATAGCACAGGGAGATCAGCTCAATGCTTTGTGATGACCTAGAGGGATGGGAGGGAAGCTGAAGAGGGAGGGGATATGGGGATATATGTATACATATAGCTGACTCACTTTGTCGTACAGCAGAAATTAACACAATATTGTAAAGCATTTATACTCCAATAAACATGTCAAAAAAAAAGAAAAGAAAGCACCTACCACATGTCAGGAACTCTGCTAAGGACAAACAAAGATGACTAACAGAGTACCTGAGCTCACAGTCCAGGAATTACTGGAAGGAAAAAGTGATGGGTCATAAGAGTAAGGTAAGTCAGTACAAATGAAAAGCTGAGATTTCACTGTAGGGAAAAGAGGAAAAAGGATTAATGCTTTGGAAAGAGAAATAAAAGTAGCTTTCTGGGCAATGTGAAGCTGAGAGTTGTTCAATCTTGTCAGGTTCTGAAAGCATCTCCAGATCCAGCTTTCAAAGAAAACTGGGACAGTGACAATGGAACAGCTAAAAATAGGTGATCATTATAGCAAAGAAAGCCACAGCCAGCATAAACCTGGCCATTGTTATTGTTGAAGTTGTGGAATTGTTGCTTTCAATTACTCTTGTCATTAGCGGCTTCCTGATACGATCTTCTGTGGTGAGGATAGCTTTTCGAGCTCCATTCCACTTTCCAGGGCCCTGTAGCCGATACTGGATTGGAGTACAGGGTCCCCAAAATAACTGTAATGCCAGTTTGGGGTCAGTGAAGGCCAGGGACAGCAGATTGGGCCTGACGCCCACCAGATCAGCAAGCTCATCCATGGTATCTATATAGTCTCCCTGAATGGTATGGCGTTGGCTGTCCACATACCTGAAGCAGAGAAGACAAAAGCCATGCCTATTAACAATTCAGTCACTCCATCAATTAATCAATGCTTCCTATCTGCTCTTGGCTCAATATTGAGCTAGGAGCTGTAGAAAATAGTGAAGAAAGACACTGTCTCTATCCTTAAGGGCCTTATAGTCCACTGGACTAGATAAGATAGATAGACATGAAACAGAGAAGAATGTAAGACTTCTGGTAAATCATGTGGTATTAGACTCCTAAATAGAAATGTAGAAGAGGGTAGTAAGTCCTTGAAGGATGTGGAAGAAATAGATAAGCTGAGAACAAAGAGGAAAGTATTACAAGTCAATATATATGATGTAGATTATATATTGTAGAAGTTTGGCAGTGAAAGGAAGGAGGAAAATAGGAGAGCACCTAGAAAGGGTATCAGGGTTAAATAAAAAAGGGAGAGTTATGCTGGTATAATCAATTGAAGAAAACCATGTCTTTGGGCATGGGATGATTGTGCCTCTGACTTTTCCACAAAAATTTAGGAACTTCATCAACATCAACTTTGTTCAAATAAAGCTCACCAAGTGAATAAGCACAAGTTCTGAAATTCAGATTGATAAATGTGTCCACCCAAGCACTAAAATACTGGCTGATGGTACCACCTTCCCAGATCCTATAGATTACTCATACCAAAAGCCACTGTGACCTGAGTATGTTGTCACATGACAACCAGCAAAGTGGCCTCTGCAAATTTGTAAATCTACCTGCAGATTTGTAAATCTACCTACAGATTTGTAATTTAACCATATCTACCTCTCATTAATTTATTGCTGCCCTTCCTTCCTCTGGCAGCTCTAACAGCCCTTCAAGTAATCCTTGCCAAAATAATATGCCTGGTTTTCTCTCCATGTGCTTTTTCCTACTTGACTTTTCTTTTAGGCCCTAAACAGAATTTTCTTAAGCTTTTCTCTCCTTTCCCATCCATATTCAAACCACTTGGTGGTATTTCTCTATTCTGTTGTCACAAACTATCATTTCCTTTTCCTTCAAAATATACTCTAAATCCTTAAACAGACATGAGGACAATAAATACAATACAACATTGCTCTTATTAAGAAAGAAGTGGGAAAAAATAACCACCTATCTTCCTAGGAGAATTCTTACCTTTTGGCCATATCCTCTCGAACCTTAGCTATTTCTTTTATCATTTCATTTTGTGAGGGCAATGTCTTTATCCCTAAAGAGAAAAATCAAAATTTTAAGTGTAAAATTAAAATTACCTCATTATGAACACTAACCCTATTAACAATTACCATGCTATGGAAAATTCAAAGGAATACAGGCTAGTTGTCTGTACCAAGGAGGTTACACCTTCACTTGATCACCTTACCCTACCACCACCAGAATATAATCATATTAACCTCAGTAGTTTACTCTTTTCTACTTTGTCTTTGGAAGATATTTCTCCTAATCTGCTTTCCAACCAATACCTGCCTCCTCCCTAACATAGTCTTTCAATTGGGAAATGAAATATGGACATGAGGAAATGATAAATGGCCTTAAAAGTATACGGAAAATGAGGTACAAAGTAAAAGGGCGGGGGGAATATGGGAAACACACCTGTACTTGTACTCTTAATAACAAAGAGGCTTTATACCACAGGGAGAAGGAAGTAAAAGTAAACTCTCAGTCCTCTTGTATGCCTACAGTTCCATGGAAGATACGCCTTACCTTCTAAATTTTTATTTACTGAGAGTGAGGGGTAAGGTCAAGGGCAACTCATAATACCCAATCTTAACAGATAAATTTAAGCACCAATGAACAGTTCCAGTAGCAGGAATTTAACACCAAGGACATGGCTAGACAAAGGTAGAATAGTATTTAAGTTGACCTAGACAACTCTCAATTTAAATGATTAGCTTTATGCCTGGATTTACAGGCACTATGCTATGTAGAAAACTTTAGCCACACCCAACTCTAAAGTGTTACTCCACAAAATTCTGGAATGTGTAATTTTAGAATGGGAATATATCTTACCTAATACAATCCTTCTCTCTACAAATACTCTCAAGGGGTTATCTCATTCCTCCTTAAATATCTCTGGTGATGGGGATCTCATCACCTGAGGAGATGATTTAATTGTTTGGCTGCTCTACTTGCTGGAACATTATTCTTTTCATTGACCCCAGAACCTGGCTCCATGCAACTGGCACCAATGGACTTAGCTCTGCCTTCTGGGGCCAAGGAGTCTAGTATTAACAAATGACAGCGTTTGAACCACTTGAGAACAACTGTCATAACTTCTTTAAGTCTTTTCATTATCAGCCTTAAAGCCTTAACAGTTCCCCATATAACAGGTTTCACATTTTCTGCCACATTGGTTACCCTTCTCTGGGCACACTCTAGTAACTATCCTGGTGTGTCCCTCTTAAAACATGAGACAAATTCAACACTCAAGAAATAGCCTTCTGTGTTTTGCCATGTGTTCTTTTCATTTTAGCCTTGGGAATTATTACGTATGTTCGTAAGTCAATGAGGAATCACTGAAATGCTTCATTTGAAGTTAATCACAGGTCTTAAGATGCTCATGAAACACAGTTTGAGAGTTGATTTCCAAATTATTTCTCGTAGAACCACCGTAATTTTTACTTCTCTTAAGTAGAAACATTATGGAGGAGGAGGTCATTTCTTGCCTGTGACACAGCCAATTCATCCAAAAAACAAAACAAAACAAAAACCCAACCAAAGAAAAAAATCACTGTAAATTAGATAGGTAAATAGATAGGAATATATAAAGATGTGTACTGTATCCGGTGGTGCAGTTCTTAATTCATTGATACTGTTGCAATGTTTCCTCATTCAGGCACATGTCATTTTTACCATATGTATCTCCCTCCTTCCTATCTTGCTCCTCCTCTTATATTACCAGTTTACATCACTGGCCACAGCCCTGAGCAGATTCTTTTTCTCGCTTTCATCTCCAACATACACTGCATCCAAATCTTTTCAAATTCACCAATGAAATTTCATTCAAATTTGTCTCCTTGTATTCCTTTACCTTAGTTTAAAGCCCTCATTACGCCTTTCTTGGACTTTTGTCACAGGCTCGCAACTGACCTATTTCCCATTTCATTTCCCTCTAACACATCTTCTGAATTACAAATCTGATTTGACTCTGCCTCTGCCAGTTAATCCTTCAATTGTTTTCTATTGCCTACATTGAATGTGAACTTCTTGCATGGCACCTAAGGAATTTTCTTGGTTTTGCCTCTATAAATATCTCCAGCTTCATTTTCTTTAATTCCTGTAATACTTTATTCTCCAGAATTCTGAACTCCTTGTAGTTCTCAGGACTTGGTTTATTTTGTCATTTTCTCTAACTTTGCATAAATATTACTAATTGTTCTCTGTTATGTTCAAGATGGCATTGTCCTTTTAGTAAACTCTTACTTTTTTACAGTGTATTTGCAGTTGTAGGGAGAATTGGGTATTTATTCCTTTCTGCTCCCATAGCCAGCTCCTCTACATTGTTATTGGACACTTGTTTAGGATATAGTAAATACCTGCTGAATGAATGAACACATTAAATGTCTGTTTACTTGTCTCCCTTGCTTGACTCTGAGTTCCGTAAAGATAGGAATTTTCTGTTTGGTCATATTTGCATCTCCAGCACCTAGCAGAGGGTCTGGCATACACTAAGAGGCCAGTAAATGTTAGCTGACGAATGTTGTTGAAGAACCGTGTGGAACTGAAGTTCAGAGATTTCCTAAGTGTTCCAAGACAAGGTTCAAACGGGGTGAGCCTGAATTGTAACTCTGTGGAACTAAGTCTTTCAGTCGGCTCTCAGGCCTAAGTCAGATTGTATTTATGTAGTCCTGACTAGTCCCTGCATGTTTAATGTAAAGGTAATGTTACAAGAGGAAGGAGGTGTGGCTGCCATTCTGCTCTTTCAGTCCAGTCCAGCCTTTTACCATGACTGGAAATTGAGAAGATAGTTCATAAGCTGAGATCCTCTGATAAGAACTTTCTACTCTAGAGTTTAGAAAACCTCCAAAACTAAACTTGCAGTCATTGAATAGAGATGTATTAGCTACCTCCCATGTGCTAGGCACTGGTCTAGACTTGGAAGACAAAGGCAAATAAACATGATTCTTTTATTTAAAGAGCTTTCAATATACTACAAAGAGAGGGAGGAAATAAACAGGCTTTTTCCACACAAATAACGAGTAAAGGGGAGGCATACCAGGCAGAGAGAGCAACAGAAGCAAAGACATAAGGTACAAGAGTACCTGCTGTGTTTGCTGCATAGTGGGTAAGTCATTCAGTGCATCTAGAAAATTGTAGGATGGATGGTAAAGACCTGCAAAAGATGGGCCTGAGAAAGCAGCCTGTATCCAATTTGTGGAGGAATGTGAATGCCATGCTATGACATAATGCTTCCTTGTGATCCAGAGAATTGGTATCATTTCATATGGTTTGCAAGGGAAGAAAGTTACTAAATGAAAGTGGAACACTTGCAAGGGCTCTTGAGAGGGCTACAAATGAGACAAAAGAAAACTAGATTTCTGTCAAGGTAAGCAAGTGGGTTCAGTGTTCTATAAAAGCGTGGAATATTTTCTTGACAGGAGAATAGTAATTCTAGAGAACAAAGGAAGAAGGGAAATGTGGCTTGGTGGGTAAAGGACAGGCCAGGGAAGAGGACAGGCAGAGTTGGGCAGGTTTGAAAGAATGGGAGAAACTAGCTGATTCTAAGGTCTTAAAATTGGCACAGTGAAAGCAGAATTCAGAGATGAGAAAGCAAGGATTTGGTAAGCAGAGAGTAGAACAAAAAACTCAGGGTTCCTTTTGGAAACTTGATAAACTTATAGGGATTCTCTGATGATTCCTTCCTTCCAAGTGTTAGAAGAAAGCTAGAGGGATTAGCACTAAGATTTGCTAGCAGAGGAAACTGGGCTTTTTGTGCATTTCCCCTAAGATCCCTTAATCCCATAGCCATAATGCAGAATCTTCCAAATACTCATTTTCCCTAATCCTCTCAATGGTTCACTTGGTCCTGGAAAAGAGTCTCAGTTGTTCAAAGTATACAAGATGCTGTGGCCTATTTTAATGCAACTTTTTCCTCTTACATAATTGACCCAGTTAAAAGATTCACTTTATATGACTGGAATTAAGCCAACTTAACGGGTTACTTGCATTGGATTGCTGGTCCAGTGCTCAAGGAGTACATGATCTACTGGATAGAATTAAAAGGAATTAAGAAATGAAAGAACTTTGGGACTTCCCTGGCAGTCCAGTGGTTAAGACTCCATGCTTCCACTGCAGGGGGCATGGGTTCGATCCCTAGTTAGGGAACTATGATTCCCACATGCCCCAGGGCACAGCCAAAAAATTTAAATAAAAAAAGAAATGAAAGAACTTTGGGGAAATTTGGAAAAATTTTTTATCTATCAACTCTAACATCATTGCTTCTTTTTTCTCTGCTACCATGAGGATCTTCACGAGGGAAGAAGAATCTGTAATTTCAATAAGAACTCTTTAAAAACATATTTATTTATTTACTTGGCTGTGCCAGGTCTTAGATGTGGCACGCAGGATCCTCTTTGCAGCATGCTGGATCTTTAGTTGCGGCATGTGGGATCTAGTTCCCTGACCAGGGATCAAACCCAGGCCCCCTGCATTGGGGATGTGGAGTCTTAGCCACTGGACCACCAGGGAAGTCCCTCAACAAGAACTTTGAATAGTTTTAATTAAACATTAGTAATGGTACAAAGAACTTCTTTGTTAGCAGGAACCTTAAAAGTCATTTGATTTCTCCCTATTCTGAGGCTTGAATCTACTTCCTATTGGCCTGACCAAAGTTTATTTTTAATGTTAAGCTAATATTGTGCAAACCCTCAAAATTTCACTCCTTGGTTCTGGTTCAACGCTTTGAAGTGTTACTAAGCAAATATATAAAACCTTCTGCCATGGGGCATCTCTTCAGGTATCTGAAGGGAACGTCTATATCTCCCCTAAATCTTATCCTCTCTAGGCCAAACCTCTCCAGCTCCTTTAGTTGTACTTCAAATGGCACATTTTCAAACCCCTTAACCACTCTTGTCTCTCTCCTTTTAATGTACTCCAGATTCATTTTTAAAATGTCTGTGGGTGTGGTCTCACCAGTTCAGGGAAGAACAGTTGTAAATTCCAGGACATTATAGTTTTTTAATGATGCCAGATATAGTTAAGTCTTTTGGAAGCCACATCATTCTCCTGATTCATATTGAGCCTGCTATCCCAAACCCCAAAGTTTTTTCTCATGTTTTCCTAGCCAAAACTTTCTGAAAGAGGGAACATAAAGGGGAGAAAGTAAGACTTTGAGTGGCTGAATCTTCTTCATTCTGGACTAGTCTTTAACCAGCTCTTAATTTTTGTCTGAAATGAAATCACAGCACTTCTATATGTGACTTTCTCTAAGTATAATGAAAGAAGATTAAATTCTTTTGCTTCACAAATATGTATCAGTTGTCTAAAATCTAGATGAGTGGATTTTAATCTGGAGTGCATATTGGAATCACCTGGGGAACATTTTCTCAGCAATCTTATGTCAGTCCCACACAGACTTATTAAATAAACACCATCAGGAAAAACATGTCTCTTTTGGGGAAACTTCCTAGGAGATTCTGCTATATGTCCATTATTGTAAGTTACTACTTTATATTCCCTCAAAAATTAATTTTTGAGCACTAATTTTGTGCCAGGCACTGTTACAATCATACATACTGTCTCAGCTATTTATAAGCAAGAACATAAACATAATTAAACAAACCACTAAGTAATTCGTTAGTCATCTTGCATGGTCACTTACCTTTAAATACTTGAGTGACCCAGCGTCCTTGGAGCTCTGAAATGGGCATAATGGCACCCAAGGGCTGGATCAAGCCTATGATTGCAAGAGTTGGCTTTTCTAGGTTAGGAGGGAAGACCTTTTTATACAGGGATATCTTGTTTTTGACTACTTTGACAGAATCTTCAACAAAAGGAAAGGCAAAGCTATAGCCTGTAGCAAAGATAACAGCATCAATGTCATCCTCTTTGGAGCCATCCTCAAATATGGCCGCTGTCTCTGTGAATTCCTTCACATTTGTTTTCACCTTCACCAAGCCAGAAATTATACAGTTTGGCAGATCATCATTTATGGTTGGTTGCTGACTCAGAGCTCTGTGAAAGATGATAAAGAAGGAAAAATGAGAGAGATCATGAGAGAGAGAGATCATTGCCATGTAAATAAAATTCTATTTTGATTGAGGTGGTTAATCAATTTGCCAATAGTGTCCCTTTATTCATGAAGTTTGGGAAAGGTCTAATGTATACCAGCTTGATAAAGGTAAGGATCTCAGAGTACAAGTTGGACCCTGGGGCTTCCCTGGTGGCACAGTGGTTGAGAGTCTGCCTGCCAATGCAGGGCACACGGGTTTGTGGCCCGGCCTGGGAAGATCCCACATGCCGCGGAGCGGCTGGGCCCGTGAGCCATGGCTGCTGGGCCTGCGTGTCCAGAGCCTGTGCTCTGCAACGGGAGAGGCCACAACAGTGAGAGGCCCGCGTACCGCAAAAAAAAAAAAAAAGTTTGTCCCTGGATGGCATTGAAAGAAAAGCTGTTGGAGAAGTGAGGGAAGGATTGTTTTATTTGAAGAGTACGTGCATGGTTTCTCAAGGACTAATAATGCTCTCAGTGATATGATAAGTCCACAGTCTAGTAGCTTCTATCCATATATCAAGAAATCTGCGGAACTGGACTATCAGCATTCTGTTGAGTCTCTTTTCCTCTTCAAAGGCCCAAGAGCCAGGCTTGGACCATCATTTTCCAAACGGTATAATAAATTACATGTGTATAGTGACTTACAGTTATAAACTGTTTTTACATACATTAACGTATTTGAGTCTCACGCAAACCCAACGAAGGAGGCAGGACAGTTGTCATTATCCAGGTCCTATAGAGGAGGAAACTGAGGCCTAAAGAAGTTAAGTGGCTTGCCCAAGGTCACACAGCCTAGGATTTTAGGATTTATATCAAATGCTTTTTTATGAACTCCCTTGAGATACTCTAGGCATGGTAAGTAGTGTTTCCTCGAAATAACATAGGATAAGGTGCAGAATCTTGGACCTTTTTAAAAGCAGTGTGAATCCTTGGATCCTGTGTTAACAGCTCTGAGAATCCTCAGCCCATGATGTTCAGACAGAGCTGGCCTCTTCTTAGGAACAAGATATGTTTAAACGGTATTACTGGTTTGCTGCATTTAGTAATTCTTTGATGCAAACCTTTAGGTACAGATTCTGTTCTCATTCCAACCTCATCATTTCATCTTTCTCTCCAGACTTACTCCTGTTCACTAACAGTACCACCATCCACATTTTGTGGCCCAAGCCACAAAACTGTGAGTCTTACATCTGGTCACCAAGGCCACGCTTTCTCCTCTTAACACCCCCAGAATAGTTTTACTTGTGCTGTTTCACCTGGGCCATTACAGCTGTCTCTAGTGCCTCCTGCTCCATCCCCATTCACTCTATCTTCTACATCATTTTTGGAGTGATTGTTCCACAATGTATTTATTATTATGTCACTCACCTGCTTAAAATCTTTCAGTGGCTCTGGGCTGTCTTCATTCTAAACTTTTTATTTAGCAGAGCATACAAACATTTTCATATATCTGCCCAGTGAACCAGGAGATGTACTCAGTCACTCTTCCATCTTTGCCTGTAGTCCAGCGAAACCAAACTATGTGCAGTTCTCAGAGCATAATGTATTTTTTGCTATTCCAAGACCTTGTATTTATAATTAGAATGCTACTTCCTTACCCTATTTGTTTGACTCTCTTCTATTATTCCATATAACCTCAATATATTTTGTGATCACCAAAGTTATGGATGCTACAGTTTCCATAATTGGGTGAAATAAATTCCTGAAATGTTGTTGGCAGACACAGTCTCAAAATATCACCCCACTGATTAATTTCAAAGGAAAAAATATCTTTACAATAAAGAAACCTAGTAGATACCACCTAATCCAAGTGATTGAATTTTACATCATTAATATGCAATAAGCTGCTATCATACAGCTCCTGATGTGATCCACCAAGAAGGCACAACATAACATATGAGTATTCACACCAAAATTGTTTAACCTAAATATAATAAAGGAAGAACTACTATGAAAGTCCAAATTTAGAGACTTTCTGCAAAACAAATGGCTTCAATTCTTTAAAAAAATCCATGTCAAAAAAAGAGAGATTTATTTCAGACTGAGAGATTAAAGAAATATGACAACTAAATGCAATGGTGTAATACCTGACAGGATCTTGGATTTAAAAATAAAAAAGCTACAGGCAATTCCCTGGCAGCCCAATGGTTAGGATTCTGCACTTTAAGCCACACGGCATGGCTAAAAATTTTAAAAAGCTACAATATTATTGAAACAGTTTGGGAAATTTGAATATGCAATATATTAGGTAATGGTATTTTTATCAATGTTAACTTTACTAAGTGTGATAATTATGTTTATGTAGAAGAATGCCCTTTTTCTTAGGCAATATATGCTAAAGAATGTAGGGTAAAATGTCTTACTGACTGCAGCTTATTCTCGAATGGTTCAGAAAAAAAAATGTATGAATATATGTATGTATATATGGATGCCATATATGTATGGATCTATCTATCTCCAGAGAGAGGGAGAGAGAGAAAGCAAATATAGTAAACTGCGAATAATAGGTGAATCTAAGTGAAGGATATATGGGTGCTTATCGTACTTACTATTTTATAGCAAGTAAACCTAAACATTGGACTCCCTGTTGGCGCAGTGGTTAAGAATCCACCTGCCAATACAGGGGACACAGGTTCGGGTCCAGGTCCGGGAAGATCCCATATGCTGCAGAGCAACTAAGCACGTGCACCACAACTACTGAGCCTGCGCTCTGGAGCCCGTGAGCCACAACTGCTGAGCCTGCATGCTACAACTACTGAAGCCTGAGCACCTAGAACCCATGCTCTGCAACAAGAGAAGCCACCGTGATAAGCCCAAGTACCATAACAAAGAGTAGCACCTGTTCACCACAGGTAGAGAAAGCCCACGTGCAGCAACAAAGACCCAATGCAGCCAAAAATAAATAAATAAATTTATGAAAAATAAAATAAAAGTCAGAAGGGAAAACAGCATTTAAAATTAGCCTTTGGAAATGCTATCACAGTCTACCTTGTAGGCTGTGTGAGGACTTCTATCCTTCATACTCTCATAGGACTCCATGCATTTCTTTATCATATTCTATTGTCTGTCTTCTTCTTAGAGTATTAAAGGAAACATCCATTCCTCCAGTTTGTGATTTATTACTTGTGTGATCTTGGGCAAATTAGGTTCTCTAAGTGTCAATTTTTATATTTGCAAAATGGAGATCAAAATAGTACCAACCTATAGGGCTGTTGTGAGGATTAAATGAGATAATGCGCGTAACTCATTTAGCACTGTGCTTGTCTTATATTAAGTCCTCAAAAAGGTAGGGTGTTATTATTACTATTAGTATTACTATTAGGTCTTTAGTCTCGGTATTCTCATGCCAGTATAATGCTTGGCTCATAACAGATGCTCAGTTTGTTGGATGAATGAATGAATGATGCCCTGCCCTCTATTACCATTTTGTTGTTGCTATTGGGCATCATGTAAAAAGAACTGGTACCTCAGGGTATGATAAAAATGGTTAATGCCAAGGAGAATTACAGCCTGAAAATTACAGACCAGTAGATCTTGGACTTTTGTGGGGGAAAGGTAGAAATCTAATCTCAGATTCTGTGGACTTGCTTAATGTAAACATAGAGGTAACCCTACTATTAGCCTATGTGAACAGTCCTTATTCTTTGCCTTGGCTGTTACTGCCCACCTCCCAGCCTGGGAACATACCTGTGTTTAGGCTTCAGGCCAAACATTTCATGATCAAACCTTTGGTTCATCTTTTTTTCCAAAAATGTATTTGCTAATGATTGACCACAAATCTTCTTCATAAAATATTGAAATCGAGAAGTCAACAACACATCAAAAGGATATCCATAGTCTCCGACACGATTGAAGATCCAAGCCCCTCTTCTGGTGCTGAGGAAAACCTGAGGCATGGGAAAAAAAATGTTTGTTTTTGCCATTCTCTGACTCATTTCTCTGAAGGAATGGGAACCCAGTTTCTTCAAGATGAGTTCAGACTCATTAGTCTGGCTTTTTATTCCCTGGTAATATATATATTTTTAAATTTCCTGCCATTTTCTTGTCAAACACTAAGCTTACAATTATATTGGTGTAGTCACTGACCAAGACTATGTCTTGCTCTGAACTACCAGTGCATTTCTGTTTAATGTCATTATGCCTCCCTGAAAAGCTTAATTCTCCAAAGCCTATTCATTTTTCAGATCCAGATCAAGTCTCCCTCCTCCATGAAGATACCACTGACTGTTCTGGCTGATAATTTTCTCTCCATCTTCTGAACTTCTCTAGCACTTGTCACCTGTCCAACTCATTTAAAATCATGGAACAGTAAAGCTGAAAGCAACTGGACATCATTAATCCAAAACTTTCAGTCTTTATTTTGCCTTTCACATTGTTTACATTATTACAAAAAACTTATTTATATTGATATTTAACATTATGTATTCTTATTTTTTATCTTTCCAAATGTGTTTTCTCCAAGGTGGGAGGTAGAGCATATACATCCTTTAGTCCTCAGCCTATCATCAGCATCACTTCCTTTTATTGAGAATTGTAACCTGTCAGTCACTGTACTAGGTCCTTTATCTATATTTTTATTGAATTAATACAACAACCTCTTGAGGTAGGTATTGTTATGTCCTTTTTATGGGTGAGAAGAATGGAGAGGATAAATAACTTGCCTGAGGTCATATAGCACTAAGTGGTAGAGCTGAATTTCCGACCTAAGTCTGACTCCAAAGCCTGTGCTTAAGTAATGTTTCATCGATTATTTAAGGGAAATACTGAGGATTGCAAGTAGCACAAAGGGAGCTGGTCCGTCTTTCTGTTATCTGCTGACTAAAGTCCACATTCAGAGCTGATAAAAGTTTGGTATTCAACTACCTGGCAAAAGCATCACTTTCTCTATATTATAAAACTCTCTGGAGATAGTTTTCCAGGTTGTAAGCTATATAAGTACATTGTTTTATGGTGTTTTGTCTAACATTTCATGTTAAACGGTGACCTGTCTATAGAGGGCTAATTATGTACTTCATACATATATTCTCACCGATGGTGACCATAACCGCTATCATAAATAAGCACTTTTACATGTCACAATTGAAAGAGCCTGTGTGGTCTTAGAAATCAAATGGTTTTATATGCAGTCTATATAACTTTTTCAATATAGGTTATGACTAATGTAAATGCTCAGAGTTTCAGTTAAAAAGTTCTCTATGTGTAAAGTAGTGACAAAAATACATACGTCACAAAGCTTTCTCAGACACAACCACCTTACCTCCACCTGCTCTTGCTGCCTTGTACTTTGGCAATTTACAATTCCTCAATGCTTGTAAGGCCCAGCTCCTCTATAACTGACCATTTAACAAGCCAATGGTATTAAAGAAAGCTCATGCCTTCGGTCCCCACCACATACCTGGTACATTCTTTTATCATAGCACCCATACCCTTTATTGTTTACATACCTATTTCCTAATAAATGCTTGCTGAATTAATTCATGGAGTAATATATGAAATCAGTTTTGTGGGGATAGATGGGGATAGACCTGGGAAGTGTTATTGAATGAAGTTTGTGGGTAAAGTTCATTTAACAAAGTTGTGGCATTAAACTTCTATTTTTAAAAATAATTTAAAAACAATTTGTGGAGAAGCACAGCTTAATTAAAGTTACTGAAGAACAACCAGGCATTTACCTATTGCCAACAAAATTATGATTCAATAAAGACATGCATAACAAAATATATTAATGATGTCTGTTTCCAGGAATTTATAATGAAGATACTTTTTTCCCAGTTCAAAAGTTATGATACAGGGCTTCCCTGGTGGCCCAGTGTTTAAGAATCCGCCTGCCAGTGTAGGGGACACGGGTTCAAGCCCTAGTCCAGGAATATCCCACATGCCACGGAGCAACTAAGCCCGGGGGCCAAAACTACTGAGCCCACGTGCCACAACTACTGAAGCCCATGCGGCTAGAGCCCGTGCTCCGCAACAAGAGAAGACACCGAAATGAGAAGCCTGCACACTGCAACGAAGAGTAGCCCCTGCTCACCGCAACTAGAGAGAAAGCCCGTGCACAGCAACAAAGACCCAACACAGCCAAAATAAATAAATACTAAAATAAATAAATTTATTTTTTTAAAAAAGCTATGATACAAAAAACAAACTAGGAAACCAAAAAACGTCAAGGACATAGAAATTCCTTTAGAGTAAATGTTATTCTGTGTTACCTAATTGTATGCAAAGGCTGGGAAGAGCTGCTTGCATGTGCTACAATGTGGATGCTTTTCATACTGATATCCATGTTGTCTTTAGAAGGATTAGACTGCTTCTTTTTTCCATTTGGGGAGTGAAGAAGAATGAAGAGGAAAATTCCCCAAACATCCTATGAGTTAAAAGCTTTCAATGACTGAGTACATTTTCCTTCAGATAAGAGCATAGCACTTCTGCTGGCCAACAGGTGATCCACACTCTGAATGCTGCATTCTAACAAGCTCTTCCGGCAATCACCTGGTCTTAAAAGCCAGAGGCACACTCTGAAGAGACAGCTGAGTGAGATTATGAGCACAGTTTGTGATCATGACCAAATTCCTTAGTGTGAGGCCAAGTGAATGATGGGAATCTAACTTGTAACCTTGGCTCCATCACATCATCAATCAAAATGTTGCCAACTGAGGCAGTGAAACCAAGCCCTGCATTTGCCATTGGCACTGATGGGCTGTGTGCAGGTATCCATACACTCTGCTGGGTCCACCTGCAGCTTCCTTGGTGAAGCAAAGTAAATAATTTACTGATTCAAACCTGCTTGGCTGTGTGGATAACTTCCACAGCCAGATCGCTTCCAGAATTCCCAATGCCAATTATAATGACTCTCTTTCCAGTGAAACTCTCTGGATTCTTATAATCTCGACTATGGAAGTACTGTCCTTTGAACTTCTCAATTCCTGCAAGAGAAGGGAAAATAATTCCTGGGTGATGGTTTATCTGATATAATTTGTTAAATCATTCATTTTTTTT